TTTTTGTGTTTGTTTTTGTGGAGCTGTGCTGCTGCTAAAGGCTATCAGCTTGTTTCTGGAACCCCGTTCAATGTACTCCACATAGAAAGGCATGTTTCATTTTTAAGTTTTAAAAAAAAACACAACACAAAAAAAACCCAAATAAACATAAAACGCAGCGTGGCACAGATTAAATCCATTTGAGACGACTCGGAAAAAAAGGCGGTATGTGCAAGTCAATAGGAGGAGGGGAGTGGAAGGGGGAAAAAGCAACTGTGACATATACAAACCCTTTAGTGTGCATAGCATAAGATTTTTTGGCTGGCACTCACATGATTTTATTCAAGGGCTGGGAAAGAACTACGATTAGTTAAAAGCTTCAGCAAAGTCTGGAGGGAGTGCTCTGAAGAGTTGGGAGCCGCGCAGAGGTGACTGTAACTCCTCTTGCAATTTCAGACTATTCTTCTGTGGCTCAGGACAAAAGCCTTTTCTTTTCCCTCCGTGTTCAAAGAGACATTTGTCTTGAGATGTTGCAGCTGTGGGCCGCGGGATTGCTTGTTTGAAGATACCCCCTCGTAGACGAAAGGAGAGGCAACGCACTGAAAAGTGGTAGTATTTTATCGTGTGTGGGTTCCCCCCCCTTCTCCTCCCTCCCTCCTCCTCCACTGCCATGTGTGGTTTTTAATAAGAAGAAGAATGTGGAGGCAACATTTTCCAGGCAAGGGGAAATTTCCTGTTTCTTTTCTGTTTGTTTAATAAAGTGTGTAGTTGACTGTAAAACTGTAGCTACTTTGTCGTGAACGGGTAATTCAGGCGAGTGTCAGGATCGCTTCTTGATGCACTTTTATATACTGCAAGTGAACATGTTTAAAGCTTTTTTTCTTTTTCTTTTTCTTTTTTTTTTAATGCTGCGTGGCGTAGGCAACTGAGATTAATAAGAATTAGGCAAATGGCTTCTGCTTTTGTTTCTGTGAGATAGTACCAGCCGTCTTGCGGTCACACAAAGGCTGCCATTTAGCAGGGAGCACTCCCTAATTCTCTTGGCAGGGGTGCCATTGGGATCGGATACAAGTGGGTGGCAAAGGGGAGGAGCGGCAGGAGAGGACAAGCAGGCTTTGTGTATTAAAAATGAAACAAAAGCACTTTATACGCGGGGCTGCGTGCAACAAGCGGCGCTGCCTGTGAGCCGGGGTGGAGTTTGAGTTCTCAGTGTGACTGCAAAACCTGTCTTTTTTTTCTAATTTTTTTTTTTCATAAACCCTTCCTCCTCTGCCTCTTCCTTACCAAGCTCTCCCTGCAATTCTGGCGAGGGTCTGCGGCCAGCTGAAAGCGCCTTAAAAAAAAACCAAAAAACCCAACTTACTGAACAATATTTGCCACAACTTTGCAAGAACGGCTGGGGATTTATCTGCAAAATCAGCTTCAGATGGCAAGGGAGCCGCCGAATTTGTGAGGCTGTTGGGAGGGAGAGCTGATTCCACCCCTGCTCCGAGGAGAGCTGCTCCGCAGCCTCCTGCCTGCACCACCCCGGCTTGCTCTGCTGCCTACGCGTGGAGGCAGCGATGGGCTTGGTTCACCCATCGGGGTTCCCCTCGGTGGTTTTGCAATGCGTGGCAGAGCGAAAGGGTTAATGGCTGCAATGTTTTATCAGAATTTAGGGGGGAGTGTCTGGCTGTTTAATTACTTTCTGATCCGTGGCATACCTTGTTCTTAATGAAGCGGTCGCATGCAGAACAAATGTGCTATATGAGCTTCGGTAAAAAGAAAAGCGTACCAAGTTTAGCTTGGTTTTGTCAGCCTCAGTGTTTTGGTTTGAATGTGTTTGTGCAGGAGGTAGGAACCAGGATGGTGGAGAATAGATGCCGGGTGGTGGAGAGGTAATGAGAGAGGCAGGCGAGGAAAATACACTGTGGTTTAAGTTGCAAACCTGCCAATGTTTTTTATTAAAACGTAATTTCCAGACATTATGCACTTCAACTCGTATTGATTTGCTTCAAAACTTTCCTTGTCAGGCTGAAGTAAATTCCCTCATTGAAGCAGGAGAAATAAGAGACATTCCTCTGAATTCCTCACAGTTTCCAGCCAGCATTCATCCACGGCAACTGCACTTTTGTGTGCAGGCGAGGGTGACATGCCTAAGAAGCCTGTGTCATCATGCACAATTACATCCCTAATCCCAAGCAAAGACACAGATGCTGTTTCAAAAAAAAAGAAAAAAGCTGTGTTTCGTTCGAGTTTCAAAGAAGCTTATGTAATGGCAGCATAATAAAACCGTTATTTTGGGGCTCAGATTAAATGTCAAAGTTTCAGATAATCCGTGGGTTTGTCTTCCGTGTGCTGTGCTCACAGGAAGCCACCACCAGCCTCCGTTTGCCCACTGCCCTGCCTGAGGAGGATGGTCCTGGTCCCCGGTGGGCACCAAGCTCTTCTGAGCTCAGCTTGCCCAGACAGAGGCGTACAGCTTCATGGGGATGGGGATGGTGGCCACCAGAGCTGGGACCACCACAGCCAACTTGCCTGTGCCTCAGATTGGTTTTTATTTACAGTTGCGGTGTGAGGCTGATAGGTGATGCTCTAAGCCTTGGAGATCATACACGTTTGTAAGCGTTTAAGTCAGTGTTATAATTCACTCTCTTGTTAACCTGAGAAAATAATCTAGCTGCGGTATAGTGCTTCACATAAGGATTGTGTAAGCGCTCTGAGATTTGTACATGTTTTTATTCTTGTTTATCTGCTTATGGCAAGCTTCTTTCGGTTATCCAAATCATCTCGGCACTCTACCCTGCCTGCTGACACAGTTGCACTTCCATCTGGATGAAATGCGTGCAAACGTAATGTATTACTTTCAGTAGGTGTTAATGGAGATCTCGGAAGGAAAGACAGAGAGAAGGACGTGTTCCAAAACCCTTCACGTTGGATGCTGAAAGTCTTCAGTTGGGTCTACTGGGTTGGTTGGGTCTTCATTTCTTAAAGCAGATGCAATAAAACAGGGTCAGAGAGCCATTAAACCCCCTCCGTTAAACCTGCCTGTTTTCATGGGGTTAATTTTTCCCATGTAAAAAGAAATGTAAGTACATGCTAGCCTGCGTTTCATATGCAGCAGCACGGATCCCTCCCCGGGGCGATGCTCTTGGTGCCATCGCGGTCTGGGAGGCATTGCTTTGGCCCATAGCGCCCACGTCTGTCACATACATGTCAGCTGGTGGAGATCTTGCTAATACGTTACAAACCAGCAATCTGGACAAAAAGGCACATTTAATTTTCCCTTTAAAAAAAAAACCAGAAAACATTGCATTGCTCTTCTCATTAGTTTCTTTCCCTCGTTGACATTTTTCTGGCATGTGGAGCTGCAGTGACACTAACCCTGGTGTTGAACACAGCCCAGAGGGCTGAGCAGTACTCAGCCCTGCGTGCAAGGGCCGGCGAAGCCGTCTCCTGGCTTATTCAAACAGCGCCGCAGACAGTAGCATTTGTTCTGTAATATTCCATGTGAGATGTTTGACCCCGCAAAATACCAACTCCTTAGAGTTCCCTCAGCCAAGCCCCATGCTTGTCCAGCTCACCAGCATCAGCAATTTTACTGTGAGTAAGTGGTGATACCTGTGCTGTAGAGTGGCAGGGGAAAATGCTCTTATGCAGGAGTTGCAAAGGCATTTACTGTCTGTTAGCCCTTCAATAAAAAGATCACACAACCGCTGTGCTTAAAGGCCGTACAGAAGTTGGCTGGTAGCCCTTGAAGGTTCTTGTGCAGAAAGGGGGTTTTGGTAAGGAGAGGGGCTTCTCTGAGGCTGTTTGTGAGGGGGGGTTGATGATTCAAACCCAAACTCTCCAGGTTTGGCTGTCTCATGGTGTGGCAGCAGAAATAAAACACCCACTCCCCCCGCCTGCGCTTTTCCCAGAAACTACCTGGGTAGCTGAAAAAGATAGCTGAGATACTTTGTACAATCCTAATGTAATAAATGCCCTTACCGAGTGGTAAATGGAGGCATAGAAATTTCTAAATGATTTGTCCAAAAATGAACCTGTTAATCCCCAGAAGAGCAATAATAGGATATAAAAATGGGCTTTCTGCAGCGCTTGGTGGCAATCGTTCCTTTCCTCACTTCAGCCTGGACAGCATGTCGTTGTGAAACAAGAAATAAGCAGCACGGCTGAACAGACCCCCGAATACATACATTTTCATGGCAAGGTGTGTGTAAGCGTAAGAGCAGTGTCTTGCGCTGGCACGAATGCGCTCGCTGCCACGGCAGAGCGGGGTCTGCAGCCGTTTCATCCTGTACATGCAGGTCCTCCACGCTGGCTGCAGCCACACATCCCAGAGCATCCTGCGGGATGCAGGGATAGACCCGGTTTGGTTTTACAAACTAAGCTGAGCTTTGTCATTTCCCACCTTGAAGCCTTTTGGTAGTTGGTAATATATACAGAATATAGGTCTGTATGCTAAAGAGGTCTTCGGTGTCCTGCTCTTTCTGTGCTTTCCTAGTAATTATTTTTTTAAGTGGACTTGTCTTTCTGAGGTGGTCAAAATGGTAAAGGCATTCCTTGAAAAAACAGACCAAGTGCCAGGTGCCATTTCGTCTGCGGAACGAAATCCCGGCCCTCCTTCCAGCAGGGGAAAAAATTACTGCTGGCCTGGGTTTCACTGCTAAGATGCTAAAGAAAACAGTTGAAGAGCCTGAAGCTCTGGCTTATGCGGTTTGCTTGAAACACGGCCTGTGTCGGTGAGGATCGGCACAGCGGAGATACACCCCCATAAAGTCACAGGTGGCTGAAGTGGGGTTGTCCATCCCTGTCCTGGAGCAAGCCTCGCTGCATTTTCTCTTCCGCTGGGGCAAAACCGCAGCCATACTCCCAGAGAGAAATCTGGACCTTGTGCTAAACTTTGCACTGCATTGCCATCATCCCCCTAAATTCATTGTACAAGCTGAAACCGTGTGCTGCTCTCCCTCACTCGACACAGGAACCGTGCCCAGGTACCCCGGCTGCTGCCAGTGTAAAAACCACACTCCTTCTGCTTGCAGGTATTCGCCCTCAAATCATGAACGGCCCCATGCACCCCCGGCCCCTGGTGGCACTGCTGGACGGGAGGGACTGTACGGTGGAGATGCCCATTTTGAAGGACTTGGCGACGGTTGCATTCTGTGACGCACAATCAACTCAGGAGATTCACGAGAAGGTAACGTGAGCTGCGTGGGCAGGCTGGGCTGGGGAACGATGTGCTCTGGCCTCCCTCTTCTCATTCTTCTTGAGCAAAAAGTGTACGAAGGTGCACTTTGAGTCGATCAGCAGATAACATCAACAGTAGTCGCTGCAGATTAAAATTCAGTGGGAGTATTTTAAAAGCCAGGTGTTATTTTTGGGGGGAAAAAAAAAAAAGTCACATTATCTCTTAGCATCGGGTTTTTTTACATCAATATTATTACCGTTTCTCTTTTTTTTGAAGTTGACTTTCACGGTGCAGCAGTTACAGCCCTCTGCACCTCCCTGGGGTGCGGCACGATTGCTCTGGTTTCACTAACACCATCCCATGCTGCGGCTGAAGGATCTCCTCAGCTGCTGGTTGCACCTCAGCAGCTCATTTCTCCCCAGCGGTGAGCGGCTGAGGTTTGGGCAGCGTGCGGGCAGATCCATGCAGTGTGGATGGATGTTTCCGCTTGGAAGCACAACTACTTGTAAATACTTGTTTTAAAATGACTCTTTGTGCATGTTCAGATAACTCAAATGAGTCAGAAATCACTTCCAGGGTCTCGGAAAGAGAACTACAAATAGCATCAGTGCTGATCTTTGCAGTGCTTGTAATATTAAATGCAGGGGAAGGAGGTCGAAGTTTTTGGTGAGACATAGATAGATGATAGATGACCCAGTCTTGGAGAATCTGGATAGGTCTTGGGTTTCCAGAGCACCGAGGTAGCTTACGGTGAGCACTAATGAATTTTTGAATATTCATTGAAGGGGATGAAGTAAAGCCTTATGTGACCAGGTGGCCTTACACAGATACTCTTGAAAAACATACAGAAAAGGTTAGTGTGAACAGTATGACAAGTATTTGAACTTCCAACACACAAAAGAAAGTCGAGGAGTTATGACTGACACACGGTCATGTTCAAAACCAATAGATACTGCTGTAAAACCTAATTCCTTTTTAAAAGCAGAATTACTGCTGGTTGGAAGCAGAAGGATTAGCAGATGACCACCTGCAAAAAAGGTCCAGGTGAGCAACTGGCTCAGTTTTCCTCTGCCTTCTCTCCCCAGATGTAACATCATAATTTTCAGATATCCATCCAGTCTGTTCCCAGAGGGAATGGCCTCTGTGTCTGTGCAGCAAACCCCAGATGGTTTTGGTAACACCCGAAAGTGTCGCCTTGCACTGTGCCTGGGTCAGACAGTAGGTCAGCAGTAAAAATGAACAATTTACTGTGTAATATTCCAGATTCAGGAGCTGCAGTGTCCCCTCCAGGTGTCCTGGTGGCTCTTGACATCTCTGTTCTGTTCCAGGTATTAAATGAAGCTGTCGGGGCGATGATGTACCACACCATCACACTGACTCGAGAAGATCTAGAGAAGTTCAAGGCCTTACGGGTCATTGTTCGAATAGGCAGTGGCTACGACAACATTGACATCAAAGCCGCGGGGGAGCTTGGTAGGTCTCAGCTCTGCACCTCACTTACCTCCCACATCCCTCCAAGTGTTTAAAATCAGCACAAGTACTTGCTTCCTCCCGCGGGAGTGCGCTGGCAAAGTGGAGTTGCAGGCAGGACCTCCCACAGGGGGTGAGGTGATTCACCCCTTGAAATTCCACGTGCAATTTACATTTTTTGCACGTAGGGAGTATTACGACAAGAAAACTTGACCATGAAGTAAACAAAATGGTGCAGTTTTAGAAGGCAGCTTTTAGGCTCAGACTGAAGTGCCCCATCGGAGTCCCTCCTTCTTATGCTGTCCCTAGTTCCAGGTGCGCCCTTGTACTGATGGATATTTGTATGGCTGTTCTATTTCTGGCACAGGAGAGTTGATCTAGCTTTAGAAAAATTGGAGGAAGGGTGTTTTATGATATTTTGTTACACAAGATTAGTCTCTTGATCTGATCTGGTTCTGAGAGTCATGCCCACGCTGCTGGGAAGGCGACGTGTTGGACGGTGAAGCAGCAATTGTGTGCTGGGTTGTCGCTGCCTCCCTTGCCATCTCATTAAAGGTGCCTCAGGAGGCTGAAAGAGAGATCTGCTGCAGGGGCATGTTACATGGGCTGCCAGAACAGGGAGGGCTGCATTTTCAGAAAAGAGCCCCTACCTCCAGCTGTGGGAGTTTTCTGCACGCCCGGGTTCGGGGGTGCGTGCAGGCTGCATTGCATGGCTGTCAGACAGTGCTGAGGCCACTCCATTTCCATACTGGTGTGGATGGTCACAGAGACCTTTAGCAATCTGCACACCCCCAACTGGGAGAGCTTGATTTTTAGCAGCTGTTACAACCATTTTTGACTGTCTGATCCCAAGATTCAGTCTATCAAGCAGTCCTACAATAGTGTTTAGGATATCTCGTATTAAAGGTTATCTCTGGGGAAGTGGAGAATAACAGCCATTTCACGTGAGCCATTTTACAAGGATAATTGCGATAAGAGAGTTTCAAATAGTCATTCCTAAAAAAGCAATTCTCAATATAGTGAATTTTTTTTTCGAGAGGAGAACAGTGTCTCTTCAATGTAATGGTTTCTTCATGTTTTTAGCTCTTATTGTTATTATCCATTATAACAATGTTCTGAAGCTTTGAACATCAAGAAAGGAAAAATATAACGAATAAAGTAATGGGATACTACAGTACAATCCTTCTTTTATACTTGGCAAATTGGGTGGCCAAATGATGTGGTTTCAAGTAGAAAATGTAATGACTACCCACAAATGTAGCGTAAAGTTTAATTGGTGTTGCTTTCCATAAGGTAGTTTTTAAACTGTGCAGTCAATAAATGACCAGTGTCTAAACACGGTGCCTGGCTATGCACTAGCAGCCGCCTGTGCCTCGCTGGCCGGGCTGATGGGACCAGTTTTGACCCACTAGAAGACACTCCCAGCATGAGATGCTGGTGTTGAACCATCCGCCGTGGGTACGTAATCCCCGGTGCCAGCAGCTCCTGCTCCTGGGGGCACAGGAGTAAATAACAGTGTAAAAGAAGCTTGTGGGAAAAGCAGCCCGAGGTCATCCAGCTCTATAAGCAAGCAGTCCATCAGAAAGGGGACAAGCACCGACAGGGATGGTGACGGGGACCCTCGGCGGAGCTGCAGGCTGATGGGGAGTGCTGCTGGGGCTGCCCATCACCCTCCAGCCTTCTCATCTCTTCTCTTTCCTGTGTCAGCAACCACAGCCTCTGCCTACAAATATACTTAAATGTGTGGTCGTCTTGGTCCCACTTTGTTAGGGACTTGGGCAGGCCGTCGGCAGGGTTTATGGGCTGCACCCGCATCCCCGAGGTAAGTCAGAAGTTCCTCTGGGGAAGAGATGATGAAGAGATGATGAGCTTTGAGCTCATGGGGACAGGAGCATCACGACCCTGAAAGGGAGAGGACACAGACAGTGTCTCTGGGGGTTGGTTGGCGTTGGGGTTTTTTCTCCCTGTAGGGTCAGTCAGTTTTCTCCCAGTTTCTGTAGATTTTTCAAACAGCCATAGGGTGGAAAACAGCATTAAAAACAGAAAAGTGGGTTCCTGGGAGCAGGGAGATTGCCAGGGGAGTGGGAAACAGATTTTTCAGTTTTGATTCCATGCCTATTACAGTGGAAGGGGATTTTTCTGAATATCTTATTCTGTCTTTATCTCCTACTTGTTCATGGTTTCTACTCAAAGGCCCTAGTCCAGTAAAGCACTCAAATACACATCCATCTTGGAGTGTGTGTTTAAATCACATTGAATCCAGTGGGATATAAACAGGTGCTTAACTGCTCTGCTGAGCAGACGTGAAATGAAACACACCCTTAGACACGTTACCAAGCCAGAGCCTGGATGGGGCAGTGGTCGGGGAGGCATTTTCTGTGAACTTAATACTTGCAGCTCCAAGTAGGGACATGGCAGTTTAAAATGAACCTTTTGTGGCTAAGAAACAAAAGGTCTGTTATTGAGATCCGTGCCAGGGCAGGCAGGGGTGTGCGGCAGTGGTGCCATGGTGAGAGAGCTGCTCCAACGCGAGTCTCGACTTTTTTCAGTCGACTGCTTTGGTCAGTGTTTGTTGGTGGAAGGGGAGGGTGACCTGGTGCACTATGCTGCCTGAATGCACCAAATTGTTGGTCCCTAAATAATTTAATGGCTGATCAGTCTTACTATGGAAAAGGCACAACTTGTGCCAGTGCGATTGAATTTCCTTGAAGGTAGATTAAACTAAACAAGAATAAGATTTTTCTATTGCAAAATACACCTTTGCTCCTGGAGTTACTCCTGCGTGGAATATTGCGCTTGAAGTCTGCACTTGTCCTTACTCCAGAGAGATGCTGAGGCATAGGGCACCCCCGAGCATTACCACTCATGATGGCTTTTGCAGAGATTCCAGGTTGCTGTACCTAAAACATGCACATCCTTGGAAAACATGACTCCAAATGCTTAGAAAGCCTGATGGGCTGGATGGGTGATGTGAGGGTGAAGGGCCAGGAGCCCCTCCGCTTTGGGGTGGGGTGCAAGGCCGGGGCTGCCCCCCCTGAGCCACAGTTGTGCTTTGTGGTGTTGCCTCTGCAGGGATTGCCGTCTGCAACATCCCCTCGGCCGCCGTGGAGGAGACGGCCGACTCCACCGTCTGCCACGTCCTCAACCTTTACCGGCGAAACACGTGGCTCTACCAGGCGCTGCGGGAAGGCACGCGGGTGCAGAGCGTGGAGCAGATCCGGGAGGTGGCCTCCGGCGCCGCCCGCATCAGAGGGGAGACGCTTGGCCTCATTGGCTTCGGTACGTTGGTGAAGGGCAAGCTGCATGCGAACAGCACGTGGGGCACTGCTGGCCTGGTGTTCAGCCTTTGAGGAAGTCTTGGTACCATTTCACTGTCCTGAGAAGGATCTAAAACGAGGATTTTTGATTTTTTTTTTTTTTTTTCCAAAACCAGAACCACCACAGTGGATCAGTGTGAAGTAGGGAGAATATCTTACACTGATTTTTTTGAGGAAGGAGCCGTATTTTGTGGGCCTTGGCTGAGTCCTTGGAGGAGTGCTGGTGAAACCCATCAGTGCCTCAAGAGGGACCACACCTGATAGTGCTGCTGTCCTCTCCCAAAACAAGCCTGTCCCCAAGCCACAGCTACACCAACCTCGCTCTTCTGAGCAATTCTGCCCTGCGTGGTGGCAGGGCTGTGTAAAACAAAGTCTGTCTGCAATTCATCTATAGCAAGAGAGAGTTTCAGCATCAGCGGTGGCATCAGCACGTCTGCTGACAGCCCTCTTGGACACCCCTGTTGGGAGCTGAGTCCAGCCGTGGTTAGATGGTACAGGAGGTGCAGTCAGGCAGCAGAAACCCATCCAGCACTTGGTGGCCAGACACACGCAATGTGGCAGAAACACGAGCAGGAAAGATTTGGCGAGGTGCCGGTTTAGGGAGCAATTCTGGCTGCTGGAGGGTGGCTGCCGGGGAGGGTCAGCCAGGAGCAGGACGCGAGTGCTGCAGCAGTATTCCCACTGGCTTTCTGTGCAGCAGCCATTTTCCCCGCTTGCTTCACACTGTTGTCCTGTGAAGCTCTGGGCTAGTTAGTGCAAAAAGCTGGTGTATGAATGTGTCTAAATGGGGAAACTGAGGCAAGGTGGATAGGCGAGGAGATCCAGGTTAGCCTAGGACATCTGACAGGGCCAGGGTGCAGGCAGCAGCCATCTGTGCAGACACCCAGCGGACGCCAACCTGCACCTTTAGGGCACCAGGACGGCCTCAAGATGTCTGCACGCACAGGCGGGACGTTGCTCTGCACCGCCAAACGAGGGCGTCACACTGCTGCCAGCTGGAAAAATTAACAGATAAATAAATAATTGAGGCTTGGCCCATGGAGCCTGTGCAGCCCTCATGGTGGGGATGGGCAGGGGGGCTCCAGCAACACCGCAGCCATTCCCCCCCCCCAGCACAGGGGTTGTGCTAGCTCTCTGCTTCCAAGCCACTACAGTTGTCTTTGTCAAGGCCAATTAACCAGCTGTTCAGTGAGGGGCTGGGCTAAAAACTTACCGCAAACAATGCCTAAAACAGGTGGCACTTTTTTTCCTTCCCTTTTTCAGCTTTTCTTGGTAGACACAGTGCCACAGAGGATGATTTCTCTGCAATGTCTAGAGCTCCACATTGGTGGGACTGAGACGCACATTGTGCCTTCCCCACCAGACCCACGTGGCCACGGATGGTGCCACGTGTTCGAATGGCCAGGAACTGGTGGATGCTCAGTTTGCTTTTTAAAAAAAAAATTTAACACACGCATCTCACAATTGCTAGAGCCAAGCACAGCCCTTCCTGTGCAAGGTGGTCCAGGTTTGCCGTCCAGCCACCATCCCTTTGCGTGGTGTCCTGGGAGTCCAGGAGGTCCCAGGGAACCCCACAGCAGTCCAGGGCCAGGCTGGAGGGGTCAGGCCACGGGGCAGCTCAGCCACATGGAGCCGGGGAGGTGGGAATCAGTTAAAATACCCTCTCTTTCCTTCGCACACAGGTCGCACTGCGCAGGCAGTCGCTGTCCGAGCCAAGGCGTTTGGCTTCAATGTGATATTTTATGACCCATACCTACAGGATGGGATAGAGAGGTCCCTGGGAGTCCAGCGGGTCTACACGCTCCAGGACCTGCTCTATCAGAGCGACTGTGTCTCGTTGCACTGTAACCTTAATGAACATAACCATCACCTTATCAACGACTTCACGATTAAGCAGGTAATTCACCTCATGTGCACGACTGAGGAGAGTGCTCTGCTCTTCAGTGGGCAAACCCCAAGTGTCACTGCTGGCCATGGGTCCACGGCCACAGCAAGCCAGTGCCGTAGTACCTGCGGGCTACCTCTGAAATAGCTGGTTGCACCCAACAGCCCAACTGTTTCCCCACGGTGTTTACCGGGGGAAAGCCAGCCCTGTGTCCGTGGGGCAGAGGGGACGGCAGCAGTGGGTTTTGTTTGCTGATACCAGCCAGGGCTGGGCATTCCACAGAAAACCCACGTGCACCAGGATGGGGATTGCTCTGGGTAAGGAGCACAGCCACTCGGCATGAAAAGCGGGGTGCAGTCCCGGCCAGAGGCACCCCAGGGCACCCGCTGCTGCATTGGGGTGGGGGTAGGACCAGGTCACTGCACCAAGCTCACTCCCATCTCTCTCTCCCCGGCCGCCGCCAGATGAGGCAGGGAGCGTTCCTGGTGAACACGGCGCGTGGGGGGCTGGTGGACGAGAAGGCCTTAACTCAAGCCCTGAAGGAGGGACGGATACGAGGGGCTGCACTTGACGTGCACGAGTCGGAACCGTTTAGGTAAAGCTCTGGTTTTCTCTTGGGTTGCCATCTTTAGCGGCATGTCCAGGGGGTGCACAACACCCATGTGCCTTGTCACACAACACTGGCACTGGGGGACAGTCCTGCTGGTTTGAGGAAAGGCTGTGGCACCTTGCAGCAGCCATCGGGCGTGGGCTGCTTTTCCAGCTCTTGCTAGCCCATAAGAACAACTTTACGCTGTTGAGTGTTGGGCATTTTGGCCCCCTGGCTACCGCTAGTTGGGAAGGGGTCGGTTATATATGGGTGCGCAGCTTCTCTCGCCACAGACTGGGGACGCATAAGAACAACTTTACGCTGTTGAGTGTTGGACATTTTGGCCCCCTGGCTACCGCTAGCTGGGAAGGGGTCGGTTATATATGGGTGCTTCTCTCGCCACAGACTGGGGACAGGGGTAGGACTAGTAGTTTGCTTGTGTTTTCTGAAACATTTTTTTAAAAATGTATGCTCCTACAATGGGGAACTCCCCCTATCCACTCCCTCCCACCCTGTGCTAGGTGACCAGCAGCCTGTCCCCACATCCCCATGCTGCTGCAGAGACACCAGTAGGTTGGGATTTCAGCCTTGTGGGCTCTTTTTTGGTGCGTTTTCAGTTTGTGCCCTGCACTGGAGCCGTGCTTCCTCCCCAGCATGCCCGTGGCCATTTTGGGCTGGCAGGATGCTGTTGGGCTCCTTCCAGCCCAGGTGCCGCAGGCGAGGGGCTGGGGACCGAGGCTTGCATAGGCAGAGGGCAGGCCACAAGCCTTTTGCCAGTCATAATACATGTTACTCTCTTTGTAAACATTGATTAATTTTCTTTTGTTTCTCCCTGCTCGCAGTTTTGCTCAAGGCCCATTGAAAGATGCTCCTAATTTAATCTGTACTCCGCACACCGCTTGGTACAGCGAGCAGGCGTCACTAGAGATGAGAGAAGCTGCTGCTACTGAAATCCGGCGTGCGATCACAGGTACCCAGCCCCCCGGAGAAGCTGGGATTAGCTCACATGTGCTAACAGGGCTTCACCAGGAAACTGGGAAAGGGCTCTAACGCTGATTTTCTTCCCAGCAAAAGAGCTGAGAAACCAAACTTTACTTTCCTGTCATTTGGGCATGTTTGTGGTCGGGTGAGACAGCTTTTTGGCAGGTTTTGGTTCGTTTGGGGGTTTTTAAATCAATGGGGCACTTGTGCAGCATGACAAAGTATCCGTGACTGGGAAGAAAAGGAGAGTGAAGCAATTAATTGCTGCCCCTTGTAATGGTTCTAACCCAAAAGGTGGTGCAGACCATAGCCGACTGCATGCCAAAACCAAATCCCAAAGCAGTGCGGGCACCTGTGTCCAACTCTTGCTGTAACTGAGTTGCTCCAAGATGGTGGGCACGATACTCCAGCAAATGAGTGGTTCTCTTGTCCTAAAAATTGCCCCCCTTGTTAACAGGGATGGCAAAGCTTCATGTCTGGCTAGCCCCTCTTTGAAATCAGTAGGCTCACGGCAACAGCTTCTCTGAAAGCAGAGTTGGGACTCGGGGTGGGAAACTGGTCTCCAACCCTGCACCTCAGGGCAACCAAACAGTCCTCCTGAAACAAGGGATGTGGGATTTCTGCACCTCCCCCCCCCTTATACTAACAAATATAGCAAAATGGAAAAATTGTAGCTTATTATTAGAGGGTGATGAAGCTAGGGCTCACCTGACACATCCTTATCTTTATTACCAACTCCAGGGCGCATCCCAGAAAGCCTAAGGAACTGTGTGAATAAGGAATTCTTTGTCACAACAGCTCCGTGGTCAGTAATAGATCAGCAAGCAATTCATCCAGAGCTCAATGGTGCCACGTACAGGTAAGCTGGAGAAGAGGCCCGGCGCAGCAGGCAGTTCCCCTGCAGAGAGGGTGGGTTTGGGGTTCCAGCTGTAAAGCGAGCACGAAAGCCAAAGCAGCAACATCTGCATTGGCTCAGCTGGTGACTGCGAAGTCGCCCTCCCTGGGGACCAGTAGTCACGTCGCTGGGATTGAACCAAATCGCTGCTCGATTTAACCATGGGTTTATAAAGCCTCCCACTTATAAAGCCTTCATTCTGGTGGGCCAGCTGTCACTCATGTGGCTTCTCTGTAGGTGGCAGGAGCCCCAGACCCGTAAGCAAGCATAACTTCTGAACCAAAGGAGGAATTGCTCTGAGCTTCTGTCTATGCACTGCTTGGGCTGTGAGCCTGGCCCAGCTTGTGGGTTAGAGCCAGGGTGAAAGCTCCAAATATAGGTCCATAGTCAGGTGGCCTAATTTCCATCTAAATCCCTGAGATTAGGGTTACTTATTGCTCCACTTTGGGTGGCTCAAAGCATGTTGAGAGATATTAGGCATGAGGACTCAGCTGGAGCATGGGCAGCCTTCAGCATATCATTGTTGCCAGAAATACTCTGAGATACCAAAAAAACCCACGGGGCACGTCAGGTCACGTTACAGGGCAGAGGCGGGCAGGAGCGCACCTGGCAGCAGAGCCCTGGAGAGGGCAAGGCCCCCAGCACCATACATGCCACAGCCCTGCACGTTCACAGCTGCCTGCAGGTCACAGGCAGCAACTGCTCACGTTGACCGGCACAATGTGCAGACTGAAACATCCAAACCTGGTGACATCATCGCCCTTGGCCCTGCTCCTGACTGCTCCGAAGTGTGTGGGCAATGCCATCCCCCGGGGACGAGCCTTGGCTTCCAGGCTTAGCCTCTGCCCCTGCAGGGTGCTTCATCCTTGCTAAGCTCCCGGGGGGCCGTGGCCCCGCTGCCCCCCATAAGCTCCTGGGGTCAGCTCACCCCCTTCCTGGGCAGGGAACACCTCCCTTCCCCTCCCGGCTCCCCCTCCGCCTTTCCCTAAGCGATGGTGGCAGCAGGGAGGTGCTTGTGGTTGGGGCCCTCAGTCCCCACGCGTCCAGCAGACCTCCAGAGGGTTTTAGCCTCATTGCCCAATAACATCTTCCCTGTGGGTAGCTCAAGAAATTCTCATTTCTTCTCCTCCTTTCTCAAACTCAGTGCCATTTCTTGAAACACGTAGAACTCACCCTGCACTTAGAAAGGAAGACGGACCAGATCCAACCCCGATTTTCAGCTCTGCTCTCTGGCTACATGAGGAAGATGCAGCTCAGCTTCTGTAAACTTACAGACCAGGTGTAGGTGTTCAAAGGTATCCACACACAGGGATGACTGGGTCAGTGTGCTAGCATTTGGCTTTGCAGGGAGCATTCAAGATAATTCCTTACCCAGTTTTTCAAAAGCGGAAGGCTTTCGTATGTTTCAGCAACCTGTTAGAAGGTACAGAAGCTGATGCAGTCTTGGTATCGTAGTGGAGGACACTTACTCAAAACGTGTGTCCAACCTGTACACCTCACTGTGGTCATGTGGGAGTGGTTATAGCCAATACAGAATTACCCAGCAAAGGCCAGTCTAGAGCTTTGTGGGAAGAGCTGCAGAAAACAGGCCTGACCGTAAGGAGGAACAGGGAAAGAAACAGAAGAGCAGATAAAAATTGGTGTGACAAGGGCAAAGCAGCGGTACAGGCACAGGGACGACAGCCACCACCCTTCTGTGCTCAGCGAAGGCTGCACTAGGGTTTACAGAAAACAACACACACACATGGGTGCAGAAAGGGAGCGAATGGGTTCCCGAAAGCACCAATCTGTAACTTCAGTTTCAGGCATAAAGGTTTCACCTAATTCAGTTTCAGGCATAAAGGTTTCACCTAATTCAAATCTTCCAGGAAATACTGGCTCCGTGACCCAGGGCAGGTTTTGCTCCACTTTCCCCACTGCTGCAACATTCTCCTGCTGAGAAGAGTCCCTGTAGCTGGCTGCTGCTTATTTATATCCAATTGGCAAAATTATTTGTCTCCTCCTGCAGTTCAGCACCAGGAAATTGTTACCATAGGTCATGGTATCACATCTCTAGTGTGTGCTTTAAAGTTTCTAGTGTGCTAGAAGTGTGTGCTTCTAGTGTGTATTAAAAGTGTCGAGTTCAGGCAAACAAAGCAATAAAGGTTTAGAACAATCTGACTTCATTTAAAATATCTGGGTAATTAATAGCAAATATTGAGTCTGTCATCATCTTCCTCCTCTCTCCTTTATCACTGCAGCGTTTGGGGTTTTTACATGTATGAGAACATACTCTATATAAAGTAAAACCTGTTTGCTCTCCTTTCAAAGCATGAACTGTACTGGCCCATGAGGCATTGCCAGGACTGAAATACTCTTTGTCAGTCACAACTTGCTCAGGGGTTAAAAACCAAAAACCCCACATACACAATTTTTGGTAGCAAAGTAAGTGTGAATGCCTCGGCAAACCTCTGCTTTGAGCTTGGGCGTTAAGCCGACACCAGTGCTAGTTTCAAATAATTCTGGATGTAAGAAGTGAACCTCAGGAGGCGACAGTGTCAGCATTATACCTCCCCGACTGTCGGTACTTCTACACAAGTGGAAAGATGAAGGAGCCGCCGGGAAGGAAAGGAGGGAGGAGGGGTCATGCACATTAAATGAAAAATAGCCAATCTGACCCCCTGCAGCAGTGGTTTAACATTGAGCTATCCCCTGTAATTTAAAAGGAAACCCAAACTCAGCTCTGGTAGAGAAGCAGAATCTCTCTGCTGCTCATTTCCTCCGTAGCCTCTGCCTAGCAGGTGGGTCATTCACGCGGTCTGTGGCGAGCTCCGAGGTGACAACCCTGCCTCTCTCTGTCCCCTCTCCCAGGTATCCACCTGGGATGGTCAGCGTCGCACCGGGAGGAATACCGGCAGCTATGGAGGGCATCATTCCCGGAGGCATCCCCGTTACCCACAATCTTCCCACAGTGGCACATCCTTCCCAAGCTCCATCTCCTAACCAGCCCACAAAACATGGGGACAACAGGGAACATCCCAACGAGCAATAGCAGATAATTTAAAAAAAAAATAATCATTCAATAAACTTGGGACCAAGAGACATTGAATAAGAAGTTATACATGAACTAAAAAAAAAGAATTTGATACAAAATTTGTAATGTTGATTTTGGACAGATGCATCATTGATGTTCCAGTGTTAACGACAAAGCGATAGCAGTCAAGACTGGGGAGAAGCCCTGAAGAAGTCACCTGCTTACTGAAGCGCTGAAAACTAGGATGTGATACGTTAATGATCAACTTCTGTTATTGTGTGTTAAGTTTCCTTCATCTGTGCATCAATCACATGAATAAAAATAGATTTTTTCCCCCCTCAATTCCTTGGGAAGGATAGGGCTTCTGCTCCTGTTTTCAAACCATTGCATTAAGCAATCTTTGCAGAGTTAACATAGAAATGTAAGAGGAAACCATTATGTGGCTTCAGCCCTTTCCTTACTCTTGTGTCTGGTTACCTCTTCTAACGGGAGGCATCAGTACTGGCTTAGAAGTGGAAAAAAAAAAAAAAAAAAATAATAGTAGTAATCCTTTTTGCAGTCTCACAGGGCCAGTGACGTGTAACGGAAGTTCTCCTGCCAGGTTTAAGTTCGAGCCATTCCAGCCGGGATCCGTGGGATGGGGAGGGCAGAAAGGGCTCCTGGCAACAGCCGCTGCTCTCCCAGGCTAACGAAAAAACAAACTGCCAGTCTCTTCTCTGCCCAATACACTGAATAAAGTAGCTGTGCATTCACCTACGCCCTGCAATGATGCAAGAAAAAAAAAAAAGAAAAAAAAAGAAAAAAAGAAGAAAGTATTAAGTTTCACACACTATTTGTACTCAAATATATTTTCTCAGTTTTAAATCTGCAGCTATTTTATCAAGTGGAAAAAGTCTTGAGCTGGAAAGGGTTCAAGAATAATGTTGCATTTCCTTATGTCTCAGGAAACACTTTTTATGGTAACTTGTCAGACTGTCTATGAACAAAACCCACTTTTTTAGACATTGATAAAAGTCTTCTTTTCTTCACGTGATATTTTATACAAGAACACTTCAAAATGTGTTATTAGATGTGACTGATTTTAACAAATCCTATTAGATTTGTATCAACTAGTTACATGTTATATTCATAGTCTTTTGTGAATCATCGCCTTTTTGTTTTTAAAAAGATGGCCTATTTTGAGCCTTTGTATGGGTACATTCCTGTTTCTGTGACAAAAAAAAAAAAAAGAAATCTTAAGCTGTCCCAAACAGAAAAAAAACAAACCAATGGCTATCAGAAGTATGTTTTGTTTTAGTGTGTTACCGTTACTGTATTTGTTTATTGTAAAGGTGGACATTTAGCGTTCGGTGCAGTTTTCAATAAAAAGTGATAAAATTTCTATAATTTCTGAAAGGTAAAAGCTCTCACTGCAATCTGATGCTTTGAGTTGAAGACACTGAGACCGCGGAGCAAGGCACAGAAACGAGGAGGATTTGAGAGCAGAGAGCAGGTAAGTTTGGCTCAAGTCTGACGTCAGAGCCTGCGGGCCCTGCTCACGTCACGGTCGGCAGAAGGGTGATGCTTAAAGGTTTGCTTTGGCCCAGGATCTGTCCCCTCAGCTTCCTGCAGCAGGCTGGAGAAACGCGGGAGCAACTCGGGTCAAGCTTACTGTTTTGAAGCTTGTCAGTTTTAAAATTGCACTGCTGGGGAAACACTCCCGAATTCAGTTTCGGGTGGTGCTGTCCATAAGCTGTAAACTGATTTATATAATTTTAAATATTCACAAATTAAGTGGGACATTATACACAGCCTAGGTGGAAAAAGGTGACTGTGGTTTCCATTGAGTTACGAAGGCAGCTACACCTCAAACAACGTTTTTTGTCCATACTCAAGAAATGAAGCATTAACAGAGCTGAAAAGCCGCGTGAGAGGTGGTAGCAGCATCAAGCCTCACTAGACAAAAGGCCCATTGTTTCGTTTCCACCCCGTCTCTTACACTGCAGAGTGCCAGCACGCGGCCTCGGACAGGGCAAAGCCTCGTCTGGAAAGGCACTAAAAAAGAGTGGAACCCCAGAAGCATCTAGGTAACAAAACTCTGCATTGTTTGATTTAAATTAAACTGAAACTAGTTACCAGCTCCGAGCACGTTGAAAAAGAGGTTGTCTTTCATAGGTGAGTGACCGCTCTGTCAGGGATGGCCATAGCACCCCAGTGACTATCCACGAGCACCAAGAGAAGCAGGAGTATGCAACAGGTTCCTTACAGAGAACGTATGTGGGAAGTACTGAAGTGACAGTAAAAACCAAGAGGAAAACATGTAATTGATGTTAAGGTTACCACTAGCTCTGGTACTTGCATTTGCTTTTAAATAAGCAGTTGCATCCCAGATGGGTGCAAGCACTTCCCTGTGTCGCAGGATCTCGGGCACCGCGGGTTCCTCCTGCAGTGGACTCCACACCAGGCCAGCAAGAGGCTCAGCTCACACCTCACGGCGAAGGCAGTGGTTTTCATCCAACCTCCCTCTCAACTAAGACCAAGGACGGACACAGCCGTAGGCAGTACTGAAATGCTACAAGCTCAACGACAAGAAACGGCAAACGTAGGCAGTACTGAAATGCTACAAGCTCAACAAGAAGAAACGACAAGATGCCAAGGGTTACAGACTAAAGGACACCCTTTGGACTGCAGTTTTAGAAGTTCCCCTCGGCTGTTGGGTTTCAAGCACCCGCAGCACAAACGTCAGCGAAACGTGCGGGGAGAAGATCCGCGGAAAGGGAAGAGTATCGTCACGATCGAGATACACCAAAGCCCTGGGGAGCGGCATGCTGCGACTCTCAGGACAGAAAATTATTGGGCAAAGAACTGGGAGACAAACAATTGCTGCTAGAGATTTGTGCTGTTACTTTGCTGACAGATGTAGCTTAAAAAAAAAAAGCAGCTTGAAGGCAACAGACAATGAAACCTAAAAAAACCAAAGGGGGTTAAGAGAAGTCACTGAACAAAAAGGGAAAAAGGAAAAGCAGCCATTAAACAAGGGTGTCTAAACGCACACAAATGGAGTAAACACAGTCTAGTAATACTTGCCATAAGCCATGCAGCAGAACTTTGGAAGAATCCAGAATTACTAAATTTTAATATATTAAAAACAAAAGAAATACAGGGATTTTCACTGAGGAATTCATAAATAAAACCAGAAAAAAACAACCGGATGTAAAGGAGGTAGCAATGAAAAGCCAAGTTCTGTGCTAGGAGAGCATGTGCTACTGCGAGCAATAATATGAGGAAAATAACATTGAGAAACCTGATTTTATATATATGTATACTTGGCTAAAAGAGCAGAACTTGCTGACAAGCTGCAAGGTAGCATTTGCAAATTAATCTCAGTGTTTGTAAACTTTCAAGTATGTAATTCAAGGAGAGAATCCATTAACATACACTGACTACCGTGCTAGCACAAAGCGGGGGTTTGCATCTCTTTAATCTACAGGTACATGAGGTTTGGATTACTTTGATTTTGGAAGAAGATACTTCACCAGTTCCGAAACGACCTGTGAAGCATTATTAACCTGAACATACCATTTTACAGCACATCAAAACAAAACAATAATGATCAAGAAAGCCAACGAGCTCTGAAGTACCAGGACTGTCCTCATACCAGAACTAGATAAATACCGGAGAGCACGGTGCATGCATTGGAAAAACGGCTGCACTGACAGCACGGTGAACTGCCACTGGCTACGGTGAAGTGTCGGCTGGGGACGGGGACGGTGAGACCGCAAGGCAGGCTGCCCGCACACAGCAGCGGGAGGTGAGGAAAGGCGCGCTCGTCCCATTTGGCTCAAAGTGGACTTTCACATTAGTTATTCTCCCCACATTACAAAGGAAGCTTTACTTCCTTAAACGGAACAGTACTGCAGAAAGCAAAGGGGCGGGGGGGGGATGTTAAAACTCCGCCTGGCATTTTGCACACCCCTTGGAGCAGCCCAGCGAAGGCAGGGGCTTATCCTTTTGTCCATTCCAGTGGTGCTCTGCCCAGGGAAGCTGGTCCTGGGTAAGCCAGGATCTGAATTTACAGCGATCTGGTTATTGACTGAGAACTTCTAAAGCTGGCATACTTAGTCCTGAACTAGAGGGACCTCTGGAAGTGTAGTGGGTTACACCACGGCAGATCAACGATGCCCACCGAGCCCACGGTGCAGGCCAGCTCAGATCACAGAAATTCTCAATCCAGCTTACTCTGCATTCAGTTCCCCTGACAGAAAAGCTCCAAGTCCTCAGCCAGCCAAGGTATAAAAAAGGATTTCACTGCAAGGTAAGGAAAAGGACTGAAGAAAATGCCAATTTAGAAAGCAATCTTGAAACAGGACCAGGCGCTTGCGAAGAACCTCTTTAGTATCTGTGGTTTGCCTGTTTGGTTCAGGTCAATCATAGGTACATTGCAGATAAGCATGCATTCTTTTACCTGAAAATTTGCGCATGCACCGATCAGAGGAGATCTAATGGCCAAAAAAAGGTGAAGACAATTCATAATAAACCTCAGTGGAATCTGTGATGGGAAAATTGCGAAGTTAATACAGTACTTCATTATTTCTAGACTTTTGGTGTCATCACCAAGTTTACGTAGGAGTTGTGCACATTTCAACACCATCTAAGCAGCATTTGGAAGAAAAAGCAGCAAGATCCTCAGGGTTTCCATAGCTCTGAACTACATAAAAATATGTGCTATGGGGCTTCTTTCCAAATTATAATTAAAACAATTTCATCTACTGCAAAATTCCTTATTCAACCACCACACCATCAAAAGTGCTTTTCAAGACAACCTGATTTGCACTGTATATGTAAAAACTGGCATTAACCTTTAGTGTTTAAGTGAGATTTTTAGATAAACTTTATCCATTACAGGTTACATGGCTAAAGTTATCAAATATAATAAAATTTCTACTGGAGAATATACTCTGAACTTACAATCTTAGGAACTTACATAAGTTTAAGTATGGCCACATCAATCAACATGCAAGAAATTCCCATGTTTACATACTGAGAAATATATAACACAGTGCTTTTAAAAACAACTTTAGCATAGATTCTTCT